TTGTTAGAGTTCTTGATTTTAGCCATTCTAACTGGAGTGAGTATCTCAATGTTGTTTTGATTTGCATTTCTTTTATGGCTAGAGAACATTTCTTTTGTTTTCTTACTCAACAGTGGTAATCTATCACTTGAGTCATAGCTCTATTTCCACCTTAATTTCTGATAGCCTCATAGACTTTTCTGCCTAGAAGATGGCTTTGAAACAGGCTCCTCAGATCTGTTTTCTGGGTAGCTAGAATAATGTGTGAACCAACAGCACCTGGTAAGTCTATTCTTCCAAAGCCAAGTAATAATACTTATGAAATTAAGTAAAAAACAATAAAAGGTTTTTTAACTTATCTTTTAGGCCTATGCATGAAAATGCAAATTGTCCTAATATAAATGATAAATTGAGTGTTTTTAGAGTAGCTTAATTTAAGTACTGCATTAATGAAAATATTTTAATTTCATTGCTTTCTGGAGATGTACTCATATGACTAAAACACTTAATATTAAATAAAATACGTATTGCTTAAAAGGAGTATTTGAAAAACTAGACATTCAAAATCAGTCCATTGAAAAGAAATGAAACATTAATCACTCAATGGAATAGAAAAGTAACAGGCCACATTTACTACTCTGCTCACTACTGTTCAACATGTTAGAGGACAATAGATCAATATGTATTGTATTGATATTGAATTGTTAAGTTGAAATCCTTTTACAGCTAAATTTTGTTTTGTTTTGTTTTGTTGTTGTTGGTCATGGGGCTTGAACTCTGGGCCTGCGCACTGTCCCTCAGCTCTTCGTCTCAAACTGAGTGCTCTAACCACTTGAGCCACAGTGCCACTTCCAGTTTTTTGATGGTTAATTGGAGGTAAGAGTTGCCTGGACTTTCCTGCCAGGGCTGGCCTCAGATCTCAGCCTCCTGAGTAGCTAGGATTACAGGTGTGAGCCACCAGTACCTGGCTACAACTAAGTTTTTGAAAAGAAGTTAGAAACAAAACAGAAAAAGAACATGGTAGGATATGTGTGTTCAAATTAAATTCAGTTAAAGTTTAGATTGATCAGAAAGTTGGTATAAAAATGATTACAAAGATAAAATAAAGATTTATAGTTACAATTTTATAGAAATTTTATGTGATTTTTTTTAGATTATTGGGTAATGCAAAACAGTAAAGATAGTGGACCAAAATGTCATAGTTATAGCTTAATTTTAATGAAATTAGTGTCACAATTAAATGTAGTATCTGTCCCTGGATTGATTCCTGAATAACAACAGAACATAAAGCAGTAACTGGCAAATTTAAGTTTCTAGATGATGAGATTTTATTAATGTTAACCTCTTGGGAAATTTTACTACTGTAGTTATGAAGGAAAATGTCTTGTGTTTCAGGGATACACTGAAGTTGTACATGCAAAAGGTCATTGTATCTGCCATTTTGCCTTAAAAGATTCAGAAAAATTGAACCCCTGTACACACAGTGGGAACCAAGACAATATGAAAAAAATATGAAATTTTGCAGAATTTGAATGAAAGGTACACAGGAATTCTTTGTAATATTTCTTTCAACTTTTTGGAAGTCTGAAACAGTGTTAAAATATTATTTTCCTTTCCACAATATAAAATGGAGTAAGAGAGGTGACTAGGAAATTGGGCATATGATGGTAAAAATTCACATTAGTAATTTTTGGAGGGAAATGAGAGAATCTAACTGTGTTTTAAGTTCTAAACCAGCACCTCCAGTGTAGCATCTGTCTTAAGCAAATATTCACTTTCATGCACAAAGGTATTTATTGTGATATATATATATATATATTTGTACTGGGGTGCTGGAGGTGGAACTCGTGGCCTTACTCCTGCTAGTCAAGACTCTATTACCAGTTCTTGTAATGCAGTAGGTTTCATATTAGGAATAAAACCCTAAGCAAACAAATAATAATAATAATAAACCTGTATTTCCACTTGTAAAGAAGTTAAGTTATGGTAAAAGTTAGTTCTCTCCTTTTGGAAAAACTCCAGTACACATCAAATGGGGAAAAGGTAAGAACTTGTTTAAGATTGAGCAAAAAGAGACCGCCACATGGTTCAGGCAGAAAAGTTTATTGGGTGAGGAGTGGGGAGTGGGGAGTGGGAGGGTATCTGAGGGGTGGAGAGAGCATCCTGCCAAGACTGCACAAGATGGAGGGTGCAGGGGTTGCAAGGGATGCAGGGGAAGGGAAAAGTGGGAAAGGGAAAGGGGCAAGGGGAAGGGAAAGGAAATGAAAGGCTGCAAGGGCTGCAACCAATGATTCAGATTGACTTTATAGGGAGAGGGCGGAGAGGAGGTGTGTCCACAGCAAAGGCGGGAAGGAGGCTGCTGAAGTGATGACTTCAGAGCCTGGGGGACCTCCCACTGTCCCCAGGTGGGCCAGTTACCTGAGTGGGGGTGGGGATTTCTAGGGAAGGGGCCAACTGTTCACCAAGGGGGAACAATGGGGAAGCAGCCTTTTTTCCCAGCTGGACCTAACACTTAGAAAACTATACCTGAAGTTATAGCCCATTTACGTTTATCTCACTCATTAAATGACCTGTATTTAAGAATTAGCTATGAGACCCTTGTCCATTGTATGGCTAGTGAAGATCTTCACCCAATCTGTAGGCTTTCTATTGATCTTGCTAGCTATGTCTTTTGCCATGCTCTGCAATTTCATGCAGTCCCATTTGTCCAACCTTTCTTTGATTTGTTGTGTTTCTGAGTCTCTATTAAGAAAATTTCGGTCTGTGCCAGGGAGACCTAGGGTTTCTCCTATTCTGTCCTGTAATGTTTTCAGGGTGCCTACTTTAGATATTTCTTTGTTGCTTTGTAGGTCCCTCCCCAACGGTATAACCCCCGTTTTCACTGTATTTGATGTTGGTATAATTTGTGGCGGGGAAGGGAAAAAACAAATTGTTTAAATAGGGATACAGGTGGACCCGTTTCGACAATGAGATGTACAAGACATTATGTCGAAAAACGAACTTTACAACTTTGGTGGAGGTGAGGGAGTGGGGCTGGGGAGGAGGGGGACGATGGGAAGGGATGGGAAGGGGAAACAAAGGAGGAGGCAACAATGCTAACTAGTATATGTCTGAGACAAGCAGAATAGGTCAGATAAATTGATGTTAGGTGAAATGAACCCCAAGGTAAGTATTCAAATGTTTTTGTTTTTCTTTTTGCGATTGTTTCTAACATATTTATAAGATGATTTCTTTGTTGCTTTGTATGTCCCTCCTCCACGGTATAACCCCTGCCTTCACTGTATTTGATGTGGGTATAATATGTGGAGGGGAAGGGAAAAAAACAAATCTTTTAAATAGGGGTACAGGTGGACCCATTGCAACAATGAGATGTACAAGTCGTTACGTCGAAAAACGAACTTTACAACTTTGGCGGGGTGGGAGATGGGAAGGGATGGGAAGGGGAAACAAAGGAGGAGGCAACAATGCTTGATAAGAAATGTACTCATTACCTTGCTCATGTAATTGTAACCCCTCTGTACTGTATTCTCACAATAAAAAATGTCAAACAAACAACAACAACAAAAAAGAATTAGCTAGAGGTTGGAAATGTAGAGTATTGACACAATTGCCTTGGATTGAAGTTAACTCCTTGAGAGAAGGGTTATGAACCATCAGCAGATGGGGGAGAATGATGGAAGGGATGACATTGATTGAGATGCACTGTACTCAAACTGACATGTTGAATTGAAATCCCTTGTACAACTACTTAAAAATAATTAAAAATAAAATTAATTAGGAAATTATTAGCAGACAGGAATCAGAATCTTGTGTACAAACTAAGCCGTGGATTAGCTATTTATATCTACTTGACTGTGAAAATCAATCTTTACAGGCTTTCAGTGTGTTACGGAAAAGAAATCATTCACACTACTTTCAACAAATACATTTCTATATAGTGAGAACTTTCTTCAATATGGAACATTTTCTACCTAAAATTCTATAATATGAATGCAATTTGCAATAAATTAAGAAAAAATACTATAAGCAAATGTCACAAAAATATAAATTATTTAAATATATACATAGCTACATTAAAATACTACTGCCCTGTGTTATGGTAGAATGTTGAAGTTCAATAGGGTTATTTCATTTCAAAATTATTCAGATATGTATAGAATATGATTTTGTAACTAAGACTACTATAAGAAATTGAATGAGTAGTAAGAATCTTGAACATTAAAATCTTCAACCAACTGCATAACATTAAATTATATGTGGTATTTTGCATAAGCAATATATTTAACTACATTATACTAATAAATTGTCCATTTGGCCTGTTGGCTATTTCCAGTTTTGTTCAAAACTCTCTAAATAATGAGATTATATATTTCTTTCATCCATGTTTTTATATAAATTACTTAAATCTCTAATTTTAGTAGTAGAAGCAACAAATAGGTATATTAGAAATGATATTGGTAGGAAATGGGGGTGCCTCAAAAATAAAACTCTCATCTTGGAACAACATCAAAGTAAGAAATCTCAGTCATCTACACTTTTGCAGGAAAAAAAAAATCACAAGTAGAAGTGAAATCTAAAGTAAGAAAAGACTATTTACTCAGTCCTTAATTGTTTTGTAACATTTCACAAAATATTCATATAAACAAAAGGTTAATTTGTAATACATTTTAAATTTTACCTAAAATATATCAGCATTTAAATAAAATAAGGTGTTAAAATACTTCAGTGCTTATATGTTTTTCTAACTCAAATTGCTCCTATGAATAAGATATTTATTTCATCTTAGATTCCTTAAAATGACATGAAATCACATATTTACTACTGCATGCCAATTCAAAATACATGCTGTTATTAAGGCACAATGCTCTTTTGTAATCTCTGTATCAATAAATGAAATGCATGAAAATAGATTTGTTTTAAGGTACAATAAGTATATTGCTTTTATATAATTGAAGCATTTATCCTTTATTTTCTTTTATTTGATCAGAAACCAGAATCCTATAGACATTTATGTAAGCCCAGATTTCCTTTTGTTTCAAAAATACTTACTGTGTTTTATTATATGGCATCTTGGAAACACAGGCACACTTTAAAAGGAGTTGATTTTACACATTAATAGTTTCTGAACTTTATTTTTCCACAGAACCTGCATAATTATTACGGATATACTTCTACTTACAAAACTTAAACAATATGTAATACAACTTTGCGTCATCTGCAATAATACCATTTAAAATCATACAAGGATAAGATGGCTCTTTTTGAAACCTACAGGGAAGGAAATTGGAAATGCTGCGTACATCAGAATGGCGACACTGATGGGTTTGACGTGCATACTAGTGTGTCATCAGGATTATCAGAAATATTTGCAGGTTACATGAACATAATATCACTTGGGTTGATATTATGTAGTAGGCAGATCTTTTATTCATTAGTAAAGCAGCAGATTTGCTACATATATATATCACCTTAGAGCACAGACATTACAGGATCATGCTGCCATTCAAAAGTAAGGTGCTGCATTTGATTGCAATCAAATGGCATTCAAAGTGCAATATTTTTTGCTATGAAAATGCAGAAGTTTTCACAGATCAGCATTTATGAATTGGATTGGTCACAATGAAATAGGCTTTCATTTTATACAAATGGAAAAGATTTATCATAAATATATAGACCAATATATAACATTGAAGAACAAGAAGCAGAAAGGAAATAATGCTCTTGCATACAGATCGATTCTCTTTGCTGCTGTTGGGATGACAGGCTTGGCAGGGGGAGGCTTCTTATTGTTCTTTGCCTGGGATTTCCCAAGTCCATTGTTGACTTCAATAGGTTTTCCATAGCAGTCATAATTGGATAATTCAAAATCTCTTGGTAAGCTTCCAACTATGCTGAAGTCATTAGATCTCAAATCAGACTTAGAAGTACAAACCTTTTTGCATCTCGTCTCACCAACCTGAGGATTAAAACATATCAGAACATATTTAGAATCTTTTTATTGATAAAACACATCTCTACAAATAAATTCTTTTAAAATCACTGTCTTCACAGGAGATTATTTATGTTTTCCCCAGAAGGAACTAACAAGATAGTAGTCACATATTTAAACTATCAGATTACTCACATTTAGGGATTTACAATGCTGTCTAAGTAAGTGTAATGTAATAGAATAAACTTTTGATTGCTAATTTCATGCTGGGGATTCAAAACACAAACCAACTTAGATATTATCAGGCTTGTGATATTTTCGATTTTTGTTTTTTCCTTTGTGCATATCGTTGAGCTTGAACTCATGACCTCCCATCTTTCTTAGCTTTTTCACACAAGGCTATTGCTCTCCCACTTGCACTACAGCTCTACTTCTGGCTTTTGGCTGGTTAATTGGAAATAAAGGTTTTACGGATTTGTCTGCCCAGGCTTTCTTCAAACCTCAACCTTCAGATCTCAGCCTCTTGAGTAGCTAGGATTACAGATGTGAGCCACCAGTGCCTGGCTCAGATATTGTTTTGCTTTGTGTTTTTCATTGTTCTGACTTTTGTGACCCATCTTTAGAATTTCCATTGTTGACATGGGTCAGACTAAAGAAGAAATCATCTCATTGTTCATTTGTAGTATATCATTATGCCAGTTTTTTTTTCTTTCCTTTTATAATACATCAAAAGTCAGTTAGTTCTATTTATATTTGCAAGATTATAACTGGATAAAAATGCCTTGAGTAAGAAAAAGAATGAATCTTATTCTTCAATATTACTTTAGCTATCAGAAGACTGTCTTTTTAAAAAATATTTTTATTGTAAAGATACTGTACAGAGGGATTATAGTTACATGAGTAAGGGAATGATTTCCTATCGAGCATTGTTACCCCTCCTTTGTTTTTCCCCTACTATCCCTTTTTCTCTTTATCAACGTGTTTCAGGTATACATTGGATATATAAGCATCTTTTAAAAAGTTCTTAGCCAATGGGTTTGATAAAATATAGATATGGTCTAGGTATATAATAACAAAGCCAGCATTTGCTTACTAATGTAAAATAATATAAAAATAAATGTTCAATCAGGAAGAATTAAATAACATAATTATATAATGCTATGGGAACAATATGTTGATTAGCAGGAGGAATGAATTCTGGTGCTCTTATCTTTATACTCAGTATCTTGCACACTTTTGCAGCTTACTTCTGAACATTCCATCTGGTACTTGCCCAGGAAATGTGTTTTGCATTTGTTCAAATAAAAGACATGGGAAGCATGACTTCCTATTACTTACTTTTATTTTCTCACATCCTATCTCTTATTAGCTTTTCACAAATGAGATCATGTGGGTTAACTATAGAACTTCACATTTTTTTTTTCTAGTCATGCCCCTGAATTCTGGGCCCGGGTGCTGTCCCTCAGCTCTTCAGCTCAAGGCAAGCACTCTATCACTTGAGCCACAGTGCCACTTCCGGCTTTTTCTGCTTATGTAGTGCTAAGGAATTGAACCCAGGACCTCAAACATGCAAGGCAAGCATGCTAGCACTGAGCCACCTTCCCAGCCCCAGAACTTCAGTTATTATAAATCATATCTGTACATATCTTAGCATCCATAAGTAACAAACCATGTGACCAAGTTTATATAATAGACCATAAATTAGGTATTAATATTTCAAAATCTTAATTTAATTTATATAATAATATTCTTTGTTTCTGTAGCAATTTTAATGTTAGCTTTTCCTCTACACAGTTCATTAAAACTTGGGTATAGAGAGGTTATTTAAATACAATAAATATGTCAGTGGAATAACTTATGTTAATAACATACAAATGCATTGCTAGATATGTACTTTTAGATATGTTTTTGTTTTATCTATGTCATTCAATAAAATATTACTCAGATATATTTGAGGATTCTTATATTCACAAACAGTAGAGTTTTGTGTGTGTGTTTGTGTGTGTGTGTGTGCGCGCGCTTTCAGATGATGGTGAAGAAATTCTCTACTACAAAGAGTCCTCAAGTTTCTTAAGTAAGTCATGGTTCATTAACTAGTTGGCAATTCTATTACTGTTCCATTCAACAACATTTATATACACATAAAAATATTCATTTTTACTTAATGCCCTGGAGAGCTTATTATTTTACCAAATATATATATGAGTGTATAAGAGTTTATAAAAACATTTTCAATATTCATAATATCACATAAGGAATAAAATGTATTGAAATAAAACTATAATCCTGTCTAACACACATTCTTAAAGAAAATTTGGCTATAGTAATGAACAATTCTTAATCTTCAATTTTACTTATTATCAATACATCTCACTTATTTAAATCTTATAAACTTTTATAACTTCTAAAAATTAATGGTAACAAAAATGAAGAAGCTTGATAATGTAATGGAGACAGAAACCTTCTAATGCTACAGACCCTTGCCTCTAAGATTCTCTTTGTGATCCTTTAAGTTCTGAATCCACATACACTAAAAATAAAATAATTCTATTTTACGGAATTCAGGAGATAATCTTTCTTGAATTGAAGACACAGGCATGGCCTAATTGGAATAAGATCCTTCTATATGATAAAAATTGTTCAGAGGAAATAAACTGATATATTTTTTTACCAAATTTAAATCAATGATTATTTTTAAAACATATAAATTACCAGGAAGAAACATCAATCTTATTTGTAGATGAACAGCAACTTAATCTTAATGCATTAAAAACTGTAGGAATGACTACTGTTTCCTTTGCTTTGGTTTTAACAAACCACTGGATATAGTGTGTATTAAGTGTTGGAAATAGGATGATGGGCCAGGCAGGTACTCGCGGCCATGCCTACAATCCTAGCTACTTGGGAAGATGAAATCTGATGATCATAATTCAAAACCTGCCCAGGCAGGAAAGTCTGTGAGGCTATCTCTAATTAACCACCAGAAAATGGGAAGTGGATCTGTGGCTTAAAGTGGTAGAGCATAGCCATGAGCAAAAGAGCTCATGGCCAGCATCCAGACCCGAGTTCAAGCCCCAGACTGACATAAAAAACAAATAACAAAACAAAACAAAAGCAAAAAAAGGATGATAGTAACAACTCAGGATCCTCAACTGTTTGTTTTGAACGAAAAGAAAAATATCAGAGAGAACATACTAGTGACTATAATATTGAAATGGCTAAGAATGTACTACCTTTTGAGTGGGAAAAACATAAAACCAACCTGAGACAATTATACACACATGATATATTTTGTATTATAAGCATAGTTATCAAAACTTCATACCAAAAACTAGAATTTTAAATCTTTTTTATTACTATTTCTTTTCTTAGTGAACACAATGTTAGTTTTAAATTAGCTCTTGAAGTTTTCTGCATTTTAAATTCCATTATGCTTTCATAAATTCCTATTGTTATTCTGTCTAAAGAACTAATATCATCTTATTAAAAAATTGTGATTTGTTAATCAAAATCCACTAGAACAAATGCACTTTAATCCTAAGCCATAATTATACTTACTATCGCAAAAACCATTGAATAACTAGATCATAATTTAAAAATTCTATTTCATATTATCTTTTCATTAATAGATATGTAATAAGCATATGCTTATTTGATGTAGTTTGATGTGTACATTAACATTAACTCATTTGGGAGCTTATAATTTTGAGTCCCATTTCAAAATACATATATCACATACATACAATGTTCATTTTCAAGGGTACATTTTACTCGTTAAAATATTAAAAATAATTTATGTTCCTTTCTATAGATTAACATTTCCAGTCCATGTTTCAGTTTATTACACCATCTTTCTAGACTCTGAGTTCATTCTCCCAGTACCACAAGAAATAAAAAATATGATTGGAAAAACTGAAAGACAGAATGTCTCTGTAAAGAAAAACAAACTGCCAGCAAAATCTATATCCACACAAATCCATATCCACACATGCCTTCCAATGGCAAGTTTAGAATTGAAAAATACAATAACCAAACTATAGGCTTGTTTTGGTATCAAAAAGAAAATGGTGTTGCAAAGAAACAACCAAGGAAATGAGAGATACAGCAGAAAGTGATACTCAACCTTGGTGACAAAGAGAAAATTGAGTAGGAAAAATGAATAGGAACATAGAACTATCCTAGGAACATAGAACTACCAATGATCTAGCATTTGTGTTATCAGAGTCTTGGGAAGAGAGAAAAAGAGCATGTCTGAGAAAGCATTCGAAGGAATACTAAGTGCAAACTTCCATGTTTGGAGCAAGATATATGTTTATATTTTTTCTACCAGTTGAACAAATTCCCAACAAAACTAATCCAAAGAGTCCACATAAAAATTCCTTATAATTAAACTTCTAATCTTTAACAATGGAAATCAATCTTGTTGGACTTCAGATAAGTGACACTTTATTGACAGGAAAAAACTAGAATGCTTAGTTCTCAGGAGAAGCAGTGGAGGTCAGAAGGAAGTAGCACAAGTTAGGTGTTTATGCTCCCACAATCTTATACCCAAGGAAATACCTTCAAGGAATGAAGGAGAAATCAAATCAAGTCAAACCTCCTCAAATGGAAGAAAACAGTTATCACCAGAGTTTTCCCAAAATAATGGACAAAGGAATTCTTGAAATAGAAGTAAAACAATAAAACATAACCTTGGAACATCAGGATTTATTTCCTAACTTATTTTTTATTAGGAATTAAAACACATAACACTCTCTATTGTGATCCTAAATATATGTAGGAAAAATATTTAAAACAATTATAAGTAGAAGCAAATAAAGAGAAACAATAAGTAATGACACCTTACATCAAAAAATTAGTAAAATACCCCCAAAGTTAATAAAATGATTCATGAAGGCTATGATAAGTTACATATGCATAACAATGTCTAGAGGAACCACTAAAGCACTATATAAGAAAATGTACTTAAAACAATATGTAAAGCTCAAATTGGAATTCTAACAAATTTCAAGTAACTCCCTCAAAGCCAGGAAAAAGAAAATAAAGAAATAATGAAATTAGAAAATGAAATTCAGATCGAAGTCTCAATGTATCAATAACTATACTAAATTTAAATGATCTAAATATAATAATTAAAAATCTAATGCTGGGCATTGAGGGTTTATGCTTGTAATCCTAGCTTCCCAGAAGGCTAAGACATGAGGACAGAGGCTTGAAGACAGCCAAAACTTAAAAGTTAGTGAGATGTTTACCTCCAATTAAACACCAAAAGAATAAAAAAATAAAAAAAGCTGGAAATGGTGCTGTGACTCAAGTGTACCCAATCCCTGAGTTCAAGCCCCAGGACAGGCACCAAAAATAAAATAAGGAGTCTAAGAGAGTGACAGAGTAAAATTGTCAACCAATATGTGTTGCCTTTAAGAAACTACCTCAAATAAATAATATAGATATGCTGGATGCAAAAGAGGATGAATGATACATCAAAGTCATGACTTCTAAGTTAGGGTAGTTCTACCTAATGAAAAGGTTTCCCCTATTCTTCATGAAGAGTATTTGCATTAAGAAGTTACATGACCCTTAAAACTGTAGGTAATAATATGCAGAAGGGTTAGTCCTTATACATAGAAAATGAATATAATGATGTGAGAAGGAAAAACACTCTCACCTGCAAAGTGCTAATGTGAACAGGAGTCCCTGTGCCATTCACAGTGTTCTTTTTAGCTGCATTTCCACCCTTTCCATCTGCTTGCTCCGCCTTAGCAATCCTGGCCTTTTCTGCTTCCACTCTTTTGGGGTTGTTCAGCATCACTTGGACAACAGCATACTCCACCAGGGAGGCAAACCCGAAGAGAAGGCAAGCAATGAGCCACACATCAAGAGCCTTTACATAGGACACTTTGGGAAGTTCAGCAGCTAGGGTGGTGCACTCAGAGGCCAAGCTGAGCACGGAGAAAATGCCTAGAGGCAGATACACAAGCAGAGTTGCTTTTACCCCTGTGAAATTATCTGCATTGTTCTTTCATCAGATTCCTCTCCAGTAACTCTCCATGGACCATAAACAATTCATAGCATTGCTGTAGAACTCAAAGATTAGAAGAAATACATTAATGAGAGGATACACTATGAGAGGATTGTTTGTTGTGGTTGGAAAATATAACATGTGTAAATAATTCTTATTTTGAAAATAAAAGCTTATTTATTATCAGCACTGAGCCTTGATCTCAGGATTTCATGCTTTTTTTTTTTAACCCAAGTCTCTGAAACTTGACCACTTGAGCTATGCCTCCACTTCTGGCTTTTTGCTGGCTAGTTGGAGATAAGGGTCTTTCAGATTTTTCTGCCCAGTCTGGTTTTGGACCAGGATCCTCAGATCTCAGTCTTTTGAGTAGCTAGGATTAAAGGATGAACTACCCACAGTGTCTTGCTTAAAAATAAATAGGAATTAAGCCAGGAATTGGCTCATAACTATAATCCTATCCACTCAGGAGGGTGAGATCTGAGGATCAAGGTTCAAAGCTACCCCATGAAAGAAAGTCCATGAGATACGTTAATTTAATTGACAACCACAAAACTGGAAGTGGAGCTGTGGCTCAAAGTGGTAGAGAACTAACCTTCAGTAAAAGAACTCAGGAACAGAATTCAGGCCCTGAGTTCAAGCCCCATGACCATAAAACAAATAAAGAAATTAAGAGCAAGGCTTAAAAACAAAATATGGATCAGGCTTAAATGGTAAAAATGTCTAAAACTATCCCACAGAATATCTGAGGGGGGAGTGTTACTTCCCTAGTCTCTGATTAGAGTGTTACTTCAGTTTTCTACTTTGCTTTAGGGAGATTTCAGTTGTATGGACAGTTAAACCTGAGCAAGAATACAACATACAAGGGAATTTTTGATACATTTTTTCACAATAGAGAAAACATATTCCTGCTAATTTCTAATAAAATCTAAATGATCCCAACTTTTTAAGGAAAGGGATAAAATTCTTATTTTTTGTATTAATACACATCAATCTAGGCAAGATATTTAAGGCTATGATAATAGAACTCCAAAAAACTGTAATAATGCAATATTTTCTGTTCTTCCCATTTGCTACCTCTCCCTCCCTACTTCCCTCCCTCCTACTTTCCTTTCCCTCTTTTTGTCTTCATTCACATTTTTTAGGAGGAAAATGAAGAGACATGACCTGTTGGCATTGGATACTGCAAACACACTGGAAGCCTTGGGCAGGTTCAGAGGAGACTTACCTTAAGAAGGTAAAAAGTTTAAACGGCTTCATGAGTCCCTCTAACTTATGGGCTCTATAGTTTTCTCTGCTTAAATCTGAATACCCTCAGAATTACTGAATACAGTATTCTAATAAGTAAATGTTTCCTTTTTCTTCCATTTGATATGGTAGATACCATATTACTAGTAGTAACCAGATAGAACACTGCAGATAATAATGTCCTTTCAATTATAATATTTCAAAAAGCTTCTGACAGATGTCTAGTTTTAAAGAAAATTATTTAAGAGACCAAGTTTACGAGAAAAAAGACTTTCAAAAAAATGTAATCACATCACAGGTGGAATCAATCTTAGGTATATAAAGATTTGGTAAGCATCTAATTTACTATTTTTTAATTTACTAGTATCCTCAGTCCTGAGGATAAACTAACAATAAATTAATGTAACTGTATTTTAAAAGTTTGCAGAGGCAGTGGCTCACATCTGCAATCTCACCTATTCAGGAGTGTGAGATTAGGAGGATTGAAGTTCAAGGATAGCCAGAGCAAGAAGTTAGTAAGAAACTATCTCAACAGAAAGGCCAGGTGTGCTGTCACATGTGTGTCTTCTCAGCTACATGAGAGTCATAGTGCAGGCTAGTTTAGGGGGGAAAAAAGCAAGATCCTACCCCAAAAATAGCTGAAACAAAAACACTGGGAATATGACTCAAGAGACAGAGCATCTGACAAGTACCTGGGTTTTAGCTTAGTACTGAAAAATGCTGCCCGGTTAATATTATCAATCTCAAGATTTCCTAACCTAGGAAGGTAGACAAAATTTCAATATCTTAATATTTATTCCACAATCAATACCCACAAATATTAATTGGCAGATCATCTTTATGAATCAATTTTTCTATTATTTTTCAAATTTTATGAATCAACCTATCAAAATCAAATCTTAAGTCCTTGAGACAGACTACAATGATTTTGGCTGTGTTTCCATGGTTCATTTTCTTTCCTTCTTTCTTTCTTTCTTTCTTTCTTTCTTTCTTTCTTTCTTTCTTTCTTTCTTTCTTTCTTTCTTTCTTTCTTCCTTCCTTCCTTCCTTTCTTTCTCCTTCCTTCCTTCCTTCCTTCCTTTCTCCTTCTTTCCTTCCTTCCTTCTCACTTTCCTTCATTCTCCTCCATTTCCTCCCATCTCTACCCTCAAGTTAAATAGTTAATTATATATATATATATATATATATATATGTAATGTATATTGAATACAATGATTGCATGTGTTCACTCTCCCTCTCTTTATTCCTGTGCACCCCCTCCCCATCGCGCTCATTTGCCCAGTACCCAAAACATGTTTCCACTTCCTGGTATTCATTTTGATAAGTAGTACTTCAGCTATTCATAAGAGTTATGCGTTTAGATTCCTCTTCTAATTATACACTCCTTCAGTCACTTTGTTTTGTGTGTATATATATTGAATCTTGTGTATGTTATTATGAATAGTTATATTTTAGGCTTACTAATAAACTAAAATGTATGCTCAAATACTTATCCTAATATATTAGGAAATTGATTATAGAGAATAGAGTAGAGAAAGTTTTAAAGGCACTGTAATGGATTTTATAACACATTTGACAGAGAATACTAAGAAGCATATTAATTTTGGAGAAACAAATTAAATCAAAGCAATGGTAAGTCATAGCAGGAAGATGTATGCATCCTGTTTTATCCATTGGCAATGCTGAGCTCTAATGTCACTTGATCTACAATATTCAGACACACTATTCCCATTTTCCTTCATCTTCTCCTAAGGTGACTTTTCTGTCTATCCTCATTCTCTATGAATTCACTCACTCCCATCACCTGAAAACTACCTGCATACTGACAAATTTATAACTATTGTTCTAGTTATCACATCTCCAAGGAGCAGAAGACCTGAATATTCAAGTACCCAGGGGAAATCTCCATCTAGCAGTCATCAAAAGTGCTGGGATAGTGAAGCAAACTTTGTGTCTGCTCTTGATCTCATAGGCACTCTACTTGTAGCTTTTCCCACCTCCACGAATAGCTAATATCTTTCAGCTTTTAAGTAAAAATCCCAACAAACTTTTAAGGTAGGCTTGATTGACGCTTCTCTCCCAAACACCTTTACATATTGGTAATCTCAGCCTTAGTTGTCACCTGCCCTCTAGGGCACAACATAATTACTTACCTGGATTATTTTCCCAAGTCCCTGGTGAGTCTTATTACCACTCTGACTTTACAACTTGTCTCCCCTAGCCTCTCTCTGCCTGACAGACTCACCTCCTTGCTGATCCCTAGGAATCAGGCATGAGCCTACCTCAGAACCGTGCCCTGAGGCTTACTGTCCAAGCCCACACACATCCTCTCCTAACTAACCACGAGTTTCTGCTTTACTTCTGTCATTTGTTTCTGAGAGCCCCTCTCCTGAGACTTTTCCTGACAAGCCAGCTTTACTCCTGAATGCCACTATCTTACCTGTTACCTCTGTACCTATAAAAAAGGCAAAGAGGATTTTAAAAATCTATTTTATTAACTATTAGCTAATTAGTTGGTCCACTGTACCCCCTCATCTTGATCAGGACCTAGCAGATAGCACAAAATAAACATTTTCAGAATAAAAACATGTAAACATGCTTGCAAACTATAAAGCAATATATAAATGTAGCATATTTTTAACTCTTGGGTATGTAATATGGGATTCATAGTCATTTTCTCAATCTTCCCAGTAGCCTTTTTCAGATTTTCCTATCTCAAATTAATGGTGATGGTATTTTTGGATGTTTTTATCAGAAAAAAGAATTTTGAAGTCAGCCTTGATTTTTCATCCTCCTGCTCCTGCTCCTCCTGCTCCTCCTCCTCCTCCTTTTCCTCCTCCTCCTCCTTCATCCTCCTCCCCCTCTTTCTCTTCTTCCTTCTGTATTTTGGTGGTATTGGAGTTTTGCACTCCGGGTTTCCTGCTCATAAGTGCTCTACCACTTGAACCATACTCCCAGACCCTTTTACTTTAGTGATTTTTTTTCAAACAAAGTCTTTTCATTTTTCCCAGAGTAGGCTTCAGAGTAATTATCCTACCTATGCCTTCCTGAGATTATAGGCATGCACTTCATATCTGGTTTGTTCTATGAGGTGTAGTCTCAGATTTTAGAAGGACTAGCTTCAAATTATGTTGCTCCTGTCTCTGTGATTTCTTAAACTGCACACAGTCCACTTTTTTTTCATCATCCCTGTATTGAAATTCAGGATTTGAAATGAAATGAGATGAAGTGTGTGTGTGTGTGTGTGTGTGTGTGTGTGTGCGCGCGCGCGCGTGCTTGAATTCAGAGTCTAGGTACTGTCTCTCAACTATATTACTCAAGGGTAATACTTCACCACATTGAGCCACAGCTCCATTTCTTTGGTGGTTAATTGGAGATAAGAGACTCTAGATTTTCTTGCATGGGTTAGCCTTGATATGTGATCCTCAGATCTCAGCCTCCTGGCAGGAAGAGTTATAGTTAAGAGGTAGATCTGCTGATAAAAAAATACCATAGTAAGTACAGAGCTGAAATTCAAAATCCAGGTTTGACTCTAAAGACTAACTTTTCTCCAACAAACATGTTTGTCCAAGACACTAGGGAGAAAGCTCAGTGTTATAGCACATGCGGAGAATATGTATGAGAGCCTCAGTTCCATCCTCAACACGATAAATAAAAAAGATAAAGTCAGAAAATTTGCAACTTGTATGGCATATCTACTGAATGTTAAATGACAACCAGAGGCCTTTTATCAAACTTTTTGCTGTGAGCCTTTTCAGAGAAAAACTCTCTAAGGTGATAAATGTCTTCAAGTACTTTTGAGAGAATAAATTTTGGATTTTTTTTTTTTGGTACGGTCATGGGGCCTGAACTCTGGGCCTAGGCGCTGTCCCTCAGCTCTTCAGTCAAGGCTAGCGCTCTACCACTCTTGAGCCACAGTGCCACTTCTGGCTTTTTTCTTTTTTGCTTATGTGGTGCTGAGGAATCGAACCCAGGGCCTTATGCATGCAAGGCAAGTGATCTACCACTGAGCCACCTTCCCAGCCCTGAATTTTGGATTTTTATGACTGTACCATCATAAGATGTTTTTTTAATTGGTTGTGGGGCTGAGCTCAAGGTTAGTACTCTACCACTTTGAGCCACAGTGCCACTTGTTTTTTGTTTGTTTGTTTGTTGTTTGTTTGGGAGGGTTGGTGGTTAATTGGAGATAGGAGTCTCATGAAGACTTTTCAGCTTTGAACTTTAATCCTCAGATTGCAGCCTTCTGAGTAGCTAGGATTTCAGGCGTGAGCCACCACTGCCTGACCCATCAAGAAGTTTTCTTTTTCTTTTTTCTTTTTGTCTCCAGTCCTGGGGCTTGAACTTAGGGCCTGGGCACTGTCCCTGAGCTTCTTTTGCACAAGGCTAGCACTCTATTACTTGAACCACAGCACTACTTCCATCCTTTTCCCTTTATGTGGTACTGAGGAATCAAACCCAGGGCTTCATGCTTGCTAGGCAAGAACTCTACCACTAAGCCACATTTCTAGCCCAAGATACTTTTTAATAGAAACAAATATTTCAGAGAAATATATATTTTTGAGAAGTCAAAGAATTAAAATATAATTTTGGTTTTTGGCTTATTTCCAATACAGTATACTATATATGTAGTAATATTTGTCACGTTGAAGAATTAGTCATTGTCAGTATCCTCATTATAGATACATAACACGTAGGGTGAAATTTCCCACATATTTAATCATTTATTTGTGGTTCTTATGAAGTATAAATCAACTCATTTCAGTATTTTTCTGGACTCTCTCCTTTCTGCCATGGCCTTTTCATAGAGATAGTGATTTTTTTCTCTCTATTTCTCTTTCTCCTTCTCTCCCTCTCTGTCACTCTCTTGTTTTGAGACATTGTCTTGCTATATAGTTTAGGCTGTCTTGAACTTTTGATCCTCCTGCTTTACCCTCTGGAGTGTTAGGATGATGGCCATGTGACATCAAACGCCCTGTACCATCTTTTTATCTTATGTCCTTTTTACTCGTACTTTCCTCATTTCTTACTTTTTGAAAATCATTCCTTCAATAAGTCAACAGTAAGAGGTGCATAGGCCTTTCTGGTAGAAGAATTAAATGCAATGTAGCAACTCAACATTGAAAGGCTAACGTGTCCCATAGGAGTCAGTCCAGGGGATAGTCAGGGAGTACACAGTGAAACCAGACATTTAAACCAGTCCAAAGCAATGAGAATATAATAGTGTGGCATCTTTGACATTTATTCACTTCATTCATAGGAAGAGCTCCTGCTTAAAGCAAGCAAAGACTTTCCCCCTAGTGCTGAGAAAGTAAACTCAAGGCTTCACAAATGCTAGGTAAGTGTTCTACCACTGACCTCCATTCTCAGCCTGAGCAAAGGATTCCAAAATAATGTTTTAAAAAGTAAATGATATAACTGCAATCATGTAACTTATTGATGGACTAGTTTATGATACTTTCATTGTTGGGTGACTTCATTATTATGTACATATAGCAGAGTTTATCTTATACAGATGTCTGACAAATATCTACCTAAGCTGTATGGTGCATGCCATCTCAAGTGAACCACCACAGAACAAAATATGTACACCTACCTTCTATGTATGGGATGAATAAAACACTAAAAAGATTTCTATCCAAATAGTTGTTTACTTTAACTTTGGTACTATAAGAGCTTTTAGACTTCACTATAGCTGTTTAAATGATTTTACTGAACAATAGTTATTTAATGATGGAAAAAGTAGAGGTGATTAACTATGGAGAATACACTAAAACATGAAAAGAAAAACTTAGCTGAGGTATTGAGCTTAAAAAAGCTGAGAAAATCCAGTGTAGAGTAAAACATTGAAGGAGCAAGTCCAAATAATAGCTTACCATCAATTCCAAAACATTATTTCAAAATACCTGATATTTTCCATTATGTAAAGATCCAGGTAGAATATCCCTTATCTGAAATGCTTCTAACCAGAAACGTTTCAGTGCAGAATTTTTCATTTTGGAATATTTTGCATGTATATTATATATAATATATGGAGCATGAACTCAAGACTAAATGCAAAATTTATTTGTATTTCATATAATGTGGCCTGATAGATAATATACAAATCTTTTAATGCACTTGCGTTTGGACTGTGACTTGTTATATTAGGCCAGTTATGGGATTTTCCACCGTGACTAAAAATGTTTTTGGATTTTGGATGTCAAATTTCCTTCTTGGGAAGGTTCCACTCATCCAGCACAGTCCTGAGGTGAAGGAAAGGTAGAGATAATCTTACCCAAGGGCACTCTGGCAGCACTGGCGTCTGGATTGATCCAGAAGGACAGCCAGGAGAGAACCACAATCAGCAAAGTTGGAGCATAGACACCCATCATGTAGAAGCCGACCTGTCTCCTCAGGGTGAAGATGACCTCTACACACGTGTAGTAGCCTTTTAGAAACACAGAGTACAGGGGTGAGTTCTCAAACATGTCCAGTTGCAGAAGTCATAACATCAACACCACTAAAGAGTTTTTTCTTGAGTATACATAATTTATGTGTTCCAAATGTATGATATTCTGGAACTTTCTCCACCTGATCATTTGCAACTCCTTTACAACTGAAAAAATAGATCACACATATTTCACCTCCACAGGCAGTTCTGTCTATGCAGAGAACTTAAAATTAAGCCAACTTTAGACCAGAGCATGTCCTCTCAGCCAAAAGCCCTATGGGAACCACACAGGGAACAAAAAATGAAAACGGAGCAAATCTAAAAGAGAAGTCTGTGAGTACACAATACACGTTCAGTCACTTGTAGAACTTCTTGTGGAGAAGCTACAGTCTACAACATCTCCCACATATAGTTTAATTAAAAAAAAAACCTCACGGGCTGGGAAGGTGGCTCAGTGGTAGAGTGCTTGCCTTGCATGCATGAGGCCCTGGGTTCGATTCCTCAGCACCACATAAGCAAAAAGAAAAAAGCTGGAAGTGGCACTGTGACTCAAGTGGGAGAGCACTAGCCTTGAGCTGAAGAGCTGAGGGACGGCGCCCAGGCCCAGAGTTCAGGCCCCACAACCGGACCCAAAAAAAAAAAAAAAAAAAAAAAACCTCAGGGAATATTAGAAGGAAACATTAGTAAAGACTAGACGTTGGTGCTATCATTCTATCCACACAAAAGAGTCCAGTGTGTTAACTCTGCATATTTCTGCCCAGTCTTCACTCCTGTACACCTGGCCTCTGATGTTCTCTAGTAGAGGAAAGAACTTGGATTTTCAAAAGCTGAGACAGATGCAGAAACTCCTTTGCAACATAATTTTAGGACTGTTATCATATAAAGTAGCTCCCAATTCATGAGAGAGGCCTTGTGAGAGCCTTTGCTGCCCTAAGAAAGTAAACAAGCAATAAGAATATTCTAGGAGCTCTCCACCTTACACAAGATATACTTCCAGATGTTCTAGATTATTAAAACTAAGCATTAAACATAAGAATGCCACTTAGCAACAGTAAAATTATATATACATATACATATATATTCCAAAGTTAAAATAACTTCAATTGTTCTCAGCTTAAACTGTGTCATTATTTTAAAACAATGAAGCAAAGAAATAGAAGACAGTAATCAAACAGTTATGCCAGAAAAGATAAAGGTACTGTCTTATAATAAAAAGTAAATATTTGCCTAGTCTTTGTAATTAGAATAAATATCTGTATCACCTTCATATTTATTGCAGTACCTACAGCAACATTTGATTCAATGGCTCTTAATAAATGTTGACTTAAAGAAAGGCTACTTGTATCCTAATACCAGGAAAGTTAGAAGAGAAAACACTGTTTCCCTCAGTTTGAATTATAACCATTGCTGCCTCTGAGAGAGTAGAAAGACAATAAAGCTAGAAGGGAACCAAAAACAATTAGCTGATTGGAACAGAAGTAAATCCTAATTATGCCTAATGCATTCATTCATATTATATCAAAAACAAAAAGAAATAGCATTTGATTAAATTTTAATTTCATGAAAACTAGGCAATATATCAAATCTTTCACGGTTTTGCAAGATAGAAAAACAAAACAATCAAACAAACTTTATTCTCTTACTGCCCGAAAATGAGAACATGTTTCTAACCATCACCTGTAATATTCAGAAACACAATCTTCAATATGCTATAATTAAGAAGGATCACAGTATTTCCTAAAATGGGGTTCCAAGCCACATTGCTTTGTAAGAGTATCACTTTTTCATGAATATTTTATATATACCTACTGCATATATAGCTACTGTATGTGGAGAGAGATACATTTGTGTTCATAAATACTTAAATATAAATATATATATATACATATATTCCACTTCACCATATTGAAACAACAATCTAGGTGATATCCATCCTGTGCTGGGAAGCAAGTTTCCATCATGTTCCTTTTGCTCAGGTGCCACTGGGAGAGTTTCAGGAGATATGAAGGTATTCAGCATGAAAATATGTTTGATATTATGGTTATTTGTTCTCTAAACTTTTATGAGAAACATTTGATCTTTTTTATCTTTCCCTAGTACGGTTACATTTATGGGAGGCAGGTGGGCAGTTAATTTATATAAATGTTCACTGGGAAAATTCAATTTACTTCCTATTTCCTGTGAGGTTTTATTTCATTATTCACTCTTGATTCTAATTTCAGTATTTTTGTATATTTTCTTCTCATATATCATCCCACCTTTGTTGTTTGGCTACTAGAAAACTGTAATTGTAATAAAATTAAGCTGAGTCATTACTTCTATACAGATTACATATTGGTCATTATTTTACATATAAGTATGTATTTATAAGTATCTATTAACCTTCTTGCTCAATTTTCTACACACTTTGAATGACCTACTTTAAATTAGTTTCTAAATATTATCCAAACATTAAGCATATTTTACTGTAGTCAGATAATTGTTTATGTCAATGTTGATAAAGTACCCAAAACAGGAAGCACCAAGAAATTCTAATTGTAGGATTGTCTTGTTTTGTTTTGTTTTTTGTTATTTTCTCTAGCTAATGAGATTTTGGGTTGCTTACTCATGATGAATCAAAAATATCATAATTTTTCTCATAATTCTTAGCAATCATTAAGGTTCTTTCTATTATGGCACACCCTTTAATTTCCTTCTAAGCACTAAAACATATGTTCATTTTTTCCTTGTTTATTTCTTAGAATATGGATCTATAAAGACCAAGGATCTTAAATGTGAAAAAATGAACATTACAGTGATTTCTATACTATTAAATTATGTAGTGTTATAACACACAATTGCAAATAATATTATTAGTTTTATTTTTGTCATTTATACATAAAGTTGAAAGATCAACCTAAACTGTGTACTTGTAGCTCGTGCTTATAATCCTAGCTATTTAGGAGGCTTAAATCTGAGAATCTCAGTTTGAAGCCAGAACAGGTAGGCAAAACAATAAGACCCTTAGTCAGCTAAAAGCTGGAAATGGAGGTATGGTTCAAGCAATAGACTTCCAGCCATAAGAGAAAGAACTGAGTGAGAGCACAGACCTTGCATTCAAGTGCCAGTATAGGCACAAAATATTTTTCTCACACAGCATAACTGTATTCATTTTGAAATGTTAAGTTTATAATCTGGATATGGATAACTGTTTTCAAATTATAACAGGACTCCACAGGTAGTGTATCAAGTTCAATACTGTAACGATTCACTTAAAAACAACATCACCTTTCTCAAGTGACTGCTTAATTAAAGCCTAATGTGTCAGATAAAAATAATGAAATATTTAAATCAGAGGATTATTATGATAATGAATTACATAATCCCTGCAAATACTTAAAACAATGCCTTTCCTAGAAAGAATTCAATAAACCATCTCCTTAAATATGAATTACTGTGAAAAAACTGTCAGAAGATGAGTTGTAAGTCTCTAAACAGGTATAATCTCTACTTGAAGGAGTTCTGACAGGTAAAGAATTACTATTGGTTCTAATAAACAGTTGCTTTTCAAAAGAAAAAAAGAATTACTAAACTTAGCCCCATGTCTGGTGATATACAGTCACTTGGTCAGTGGTTAGTCAGCCAGAAAGTCATTCTGCACTTCAGTTATCTTATATGTTGCATAAAGGAGCTAGCTAGCTAGTTCAGAATTGTCTAAAAGTTCACTTCTTTATCTAACCTATGTACCTATGACTTCACTGAGTACTCTGATGGCTATTTTTAAGAACATTGTTTTTACTTAAAATTTTTGACATTATTAATATTATTAATTATTATATTATATTATAATAGCAATAATTGATATTCGTACTACTACTACTACTACTATTATTGTACCAAGGCTTCTGCTCAGAACCTCACACCATCACTTTGCTTGCTGGCTCATGGCTGGCACTGTACCACTTGAGCCAAATCTCCAGTCTGGCATTTTGCTGCTTAATTGGAAATGGAAACTGGGAGACATTTTGACCTAAACTGGCTTGAACCCTGTTCCTCTTGGTCTGAGACTCTTGAGTAAGCAGAATTACAGGCATGAGTTACCAGGTCCTGGGTTAAAACTTGACAATTATTTAACAGCATGTTAGTTGAATGATATTTCTCTTGTCCTGAAGAATGTAACATTTATAAGAGAAAGGATTGCTTATATAAAATGTCATATAGTGTATCAATGTATTTGAAAGCGAACAACAAATAGTAAAGTTAAGTTGCCTAGAGTTTGTAATATTGCATAAATACAAGTATATTTTATACTGAATGATATAATAACTCTGATCTCTTTAACTTCTATATAAATATACTACATAATAAGAAATTAAAGTATTGCAAATCAATGTAAACATTGCTATAAAGTTAAATTTCATTTTTATCTTTTGTCATGATTTCATTCTTGATATACAATTAGTATTGAGTGGTATCAAAAGATAAACTGATATTACTTAAATACTATCAAATTAAATGACACTATCAAGAGCATCTAACATCCTTAATGACTAAACACCATCAGTACATATTCAAGGTTAAACAGTACTCATATTATGACAGCAGTTAGTACTGTATATTCTGCAAAATGCAATGCAGTGTAACAAATGAGGTTAATATCTTATACTTTTCATTATAAGCTGTTCTAGGACATATTTAAAATGCCACAAAGGGAATAGTCACTAGTGTTCAATTATCTCACACTTTCATTGATTTCAGCAGAACATGAAGATCAATACTTTTATAGTTGACAAAATAAGCCCCATACTGTTTACAAAGACAATACATAAACACAAATGGATTACAGGTTTCAAATCCAAAATGTTTAGCCCAGAATAAAATCTTCCTAGAAGCAGAATGTATTGGCAGCATATGAGAAACAACTGCTTGGGAGAGTGTGCATGGCTAGGATTAAAAATTAAAAACCTCTTACTAGTAGACTTTTATACAAACATATATATTTTGTAATTCAAATATCAAAATGCTCAAGTGAATGTAATTCTTTGAAAGAGTCAAAATATAATTATGAAGATAGTAGGTTTAAAGGAAACTTATTTTAGTTAGCTTTCAATCATTCTTCTTGGCTTATATTAATATTTAAATGAATCTTCAGAATATGGGCTGGGAAGGTGGCTCAGTGGTAGAGTGCTTGCTTTGCATGCATGAGGCCCTGGGTTCTTTTCCTCAGCACCACATAAGCAGAAAAAGCCTGAAGTGGCGCTGTGGCTCATGTGGTAAAGCACAGCCTTGAGCTGAAGAGCTGAGGGGCAGAGCCCAGGTCCAGAGTTCAAGCCCCACAACCGGCAAAAAAAAAAAAAAAAGAATATAACTTAGTTTTGTTTAATTAAAAGAAATCACTTACCAGTTCCTTTGTAGTACTTTGTACAGTTGCCATATTCAATATCCTCTTTTTTTATGTCAAATTGAGGCAAGGCAATTTTTTCTAACTGAACAGGATCCCCTGACTGCCAGATAAATCGCAAATCATCAGTTGTATAACCAACTATAAACAAAAATAAGTAAATAAAATTAGATAGAAAATTAGGTATTAATGATTTTTCATGTTAATTATCTTAAGAAAATGGGACATTGTTATATGACATTATAGTTTAAGATGTTCAAAAGTAAAATATATTGCACTTGTAAGAATATTATCTCAACAGTTACAGATAAACATCTTAAAGACAGAACAAATTTAAATATCAGTGTCTTGTTAATTGATAAATTCTTAGAACATTCTGTCGATACATATTCACCTCTCTATGTCAGAATTTTTAACTCCCATCAATAAAACTTGTGGTACAACCTTTCTGAATGTATAAGTTTATAATCATGCATTATTTGACCTAGGAGTACTTAAAGGAATACAAACATTTAAAGCATCTTAGATCTTGTTTTTAAATTGTGATTAAGTGATTACATAATTTCCCAAATTTCACAGTATTATGGGATAGTGATGCTCAGTTAAAGTCACAAACACATTCTAACTTTCCTGGAGTAAGTTGTCTATCACAGTCTATAACATTTATTAATTCTATGAGCTTTGCGATACAGTTATTTCTTCCATATTGGGTGGTATGTACATTTCTTTTGTTTTGCATAGCATCAGCTGTTCCCTCTTGCCCATTTGTTCCCTCCCTTCCATCGCTGCCATTAAGTTGCTTAGTTCATTTTGGTCAATGTCCTGTGCAGCTAATGGGTCCTGCTGTTGTATATTTTTCCCTGATTCCCTCTAGTTCTATGTCCTCTTCCTGGTTCCCCTCCGGTGTCTATATATATATATATATATATATATATATATATATATCATACATGTGATCAGCAGCATGGGGTTATTTAGTAGTGGTTCAACCAGATGAGTGGAAGTTCTTTGTTTCTTAAGTTCTGTTAATTTTGTCATATCACCTAATATTTTGGATTTAACATCCACTTATCAGAGAGACCATGTACCGTTTGTCTCTTTGCTCTTGGCTTACCATGCTCAACATGGTTTCTTCTAGCTCCATCCATTTCCCTGCAAATGTCATTATTCTGTCATTTCTAATGGCTGCATAATATTCCATTGTGTATAGATACCACAATTTTTGGATCCATTCATCTGTGGTGGGACATCTGGGTTGTTTCCATATCCTGGCTATTGTGAACAGTGCTGCAATAAACATGGAGGTGCATGTGTCCTTGTATACTGGTTCCTGTTGTTCAGGATAGATGACTAGAAGTGGTATGACTGGGTCATATTTAGCTTTCTGAGGACTCTCCAGACTGCTTTCCAAAGTGGTCGTATAAGTGTACATTCCCACCAGCAGTGTAATAGGGTTCCTCTTTCTCCGCATCCCCTCTAGCATATGTCGTTGTCTCACTTGAGGATGTGGGACATTCTGACTGGGGTAAGGTGATATCACAGGGTTGTCTTTATTTGCATTTCCTTCACAACCAGGGATGGTGAACATTTCCTCATGTGTTTCTTTGCCATTTTTATCTCTTCATCTGAGAAGTCTCTCTTTAGTTCCATTGCCCATTTAGTAATTGGTTTGTTAGGTTTGGGAGGGATTAGTTTCTTGAGTTCCCTGTATATACTGGATATTAACCCCTTGTCTGATACACTGCTGGTAAATATTTTTTCCCAATTAGTTGGTGGTCTTTCTTGCTTGGTTGCGATAGCTTTAGCTGTGCAGCTTTTTATTTTAAGGTAGTCCCATTTGTCAAGTCTCTTTCCAACTTGTTGTGACCCTGGGACTCTGTTCAGGAAGTTCCTTCCTGTGCCTATAAGTTTAAGTGTCTCTCCTACTCTGTCCTGCAGTAGTTTCAGAGATTCAGGTTTGATGTTAAGGTCTTTAATCCACTTTGAGTTGATGTTGGTGCATGGTGATAGGCTGGGGTCCACTTTTAGTCTTTTGCATGTGGCCACCCAGTTTTCCCAGCACCAGTGGTTGAAGAGACTGTGTTTCCTCCATTGTATGTCTTTGGCTCCTTTGTCAAATATCAGCTGACTGTAGGCCTGTGGATTTATTTCTGGATCTTCTATTCTATTCCATTAGTCTTCGGGTCTGTTTTTGTGCCAGCACCATGCTGTCTTTGTTATTATAGCTCTATAGTAGAATTTGAAGTTCAGCATGAATATCCCTCTCATGTTGTCTTTATTCCCTAGAATTGTTTTGGCTATTCTAGGTCTTTTGTTGTTCCATATGAATTTTTGGACTATTTTCCGTATTTCAGAGATGTACGTCATTGGGATTTTAATAAGAATTGCATTGAATTTGTATATTAATTTTGGCAGTATTGCCATTTTCACTATATTAAGTCTGCCTATCCAAGAGCATGGGAGGTCTTTCCATCTCCTGGTGTCTTCTGTGAGTTCTTTCTTTAACTTTTTATAGTTTTCATTAAATAGTTCTTTTACATCTTTGGTTAGGTTAATTCCTAAAGATTTTATTTTTGGGGAGGTTATTGTGAATGGGGTTGCTTCCTTTATTTCCCTTTCTGCTTGTACATTGTCAATGTACAGGAAGGCAACTGATTTTTGTGGGTTCATTTTGTATCCTACTACTTTGCCGAAGTGATTTATGATTTCCGAGAGTTTGGGGATGGAGTTTTTGGGATCGTGAAGGCATGATATTTGCAAAAAGGGATAGTTTAACTTCTTTCCCTATGCGGATCCCTTTAATGTCTTTTTCTTGCCTTATTGCCCTGGCTAAGGGTTCCAGGACTATATTGAAGAGGAGTGGAGACAGTGGGCATCCTTGCCTTGTTCTAATTTTAAGAGAATTGGTTGTAGCTTTTCCCCATTAAGTATAATATTGGCTATTGGTCTGTCATAAATGGCTTTTATTGTTTTAAGAAATGTTCCATCTATTCCTATTTTCTCCAGAGCTTTTAGCATGAATGAATGTTGAATTTTATCAAAGGTCTTTTCTGCATCTGTGGAGATAATCATGTGATTCTTGACCTTGGCTCTGTTGATGTGTTGGATTACATTTATTGACTTATGTAAGTTAAACCATCCCTGCATCTCTGGGATGAAGCCTACCTGGTCGTAGTGTATGATTTTTTTAATGTGTTTCTCGATTCTGTTAGCTAGAATCTTGTTAAAGATCTTTGCATCTGTGTTCATCAAGGAAATTGGCATGAAATTCTCTTTTTGGTTGGGCGTTTGCCTGCTTTGGGGATGAGTGTGATATTGGCATCATAGAATGACTTTGGGATAGCTCCCTCCTTCTATGTTTCTCTGAAGAGCTTGAGGAGTATGGATATTAGCTCTTCTTTAAAGGTCTTATAGAATTCTGCTGTGAATCCATCTGGTCCTGGACTTTTTTTTTTTTGTTGGAAGACTGATTGGTTCCTGTATCTCATTGTAGGATATCGGTTTATTTAATTGATTTACTTCTTCTTTGCTCAGTTTGGGTAGCTTGTATGTCTCTAAAAATGCATCCATTTCTGCCAGGTTTTCTTTCTTTAGAGAGTATAACTTTTGAAAGTAGTCCATTAAGATTGTTTGAATATCTTGGGTACGTGTTGTGATTTTTCCCGTGGCATCCCTAATCCTGTTAATATGGGTTTCCTCTCTTTTTTTAAATTAATCTTGCCAATGGTCCACCAATTTTACTTATTTTTTCAAAGAACCAGCTTTTTGTTTGGTTAATTCTGGCTATGATTCTCCTATTCTCTAATTCATTAATCTCCGCTCTTAGTTTGGTTATCTGGCTCAGTCTAGTAACTTTAGGTTCCATTTTTTCATGTTTTTCTAGCTGTTTTAATTGCAACATGAGATTATTTACTTGGTCTGTCCCTATTTTCTTGATGTGGGCACTGAGGGTAATAAATTTGCCCCTCAGGACTGCTTTTGCTGTGTCCCACAAGTTTCTTTGCGAGGTGTTTTCATTTTCATTGAGTTGTAGGATATTTTTTATTTCTGCTTTGATTTCTTCTGTTACCCAGCATTGTTTAGAAGTGTGCTGTTCAATTTCCATGTATTAGAGTAATTTCTGTGGTATGCTTTATTATTGAGAACTAGCTTGATTCCACTGTGGTCAGATAGGATACAGGGGATTATGTCGATCCCTTTGTATTTGCTTAAGTTCCTTGCATGAACTATGATATGGTCTAATTTGGAGAAAGTTCCATGAGCTGCTGAGAAGAATGTGTACTCTGTTGTTTTAGGATGAAATACTCAGTAGATGTCAGTTAATTCTGCTTGAAGTATGGCCTCTCTTAATTTGGTAGCTTCTTTGCCAATCCTCTGGTTGGCAGACCTGTCCTTTGGTGAGAGTGGGGTGTTAAAGTCTCCTAGTATTATCGTATTGGGATCTATTTTATTCTGTAAGTTTGAGATATTTGCTTAACATCTGGGTGCACCAATGTTTGGGGAATATAAGTTGATAATGGTAATATCCTCCTCTTAGATTGTTCCCTGTATTAATATGTAGTGTCCGTCCTTATCTTTTTGTATTGATTTTAATGAAAAGTTTATTTTGTCAGGTATCAGGATTGCTACACCTGCTTTTTAACTGGGATATTTGATTGGTAGGTCCTTTTCCAATCCTTCACTCTGAGTTTGTTTGTATGTTTGGCTGAGAGGTGGGTCTCCTGAAGGTAACAACAGATGGATGAACTCATGTTTTCTGATCCAATCTGCAGTTCTTTTTTTTTGATTGGAAAATTAAGCCCATTAATATTAAGAGATAGTATAGTGAGATGCATTGTGGTCCCAGTCATTCCCTGTTTCCCTCAGTTTCTCTTCTTTCCTTTCCTCCTGTGCTTGCTCAGTTAGACTTCTATTAATGCCTGTCTGGGTGCAGGTCCCTGTTCCTGGTTGCTTTTTTCAGGTTGTGTTCCCCCTCTTAGTATTCTTTGCAATGCTGGCTTAATGTTTATGTATTCATTTAGTTTTTCTTTGCTATTAAAAATTTTCAGCTCTCCATTGAATGTGAATGCTAGCTTTGCCGGGTATATCAGTCTGGGTTTGCAGTTATTGGCTCTCAGGGCCTGTATGGTACTTTCCCAAGTCTTTCTTACATTCATTGTTTGTGTGGAGAGATCTTCAGTACTTCTAATTTTTTTCCCCTTGTAGTATAGCTCCTTCTTCATTTTTGCTGCATGCAGGATTGTTTTCTTATTATTTAGATCTATCATTTTTACTATAATGTGTCTAGAAGTGTTTCTCCTGGGATCTTGCTTGAGTCATTCCTCCAGCATCTCTTGGATGTAGCTTTTGTCTTCCATTCCTGCTTTGCTCCCACTGGGGCTCTCCCCGGGGGTGGGGGCTGCTGGCTTTTGGGGATAACTTGCTATCCTGGATGTTGATAAACTTTGTAATTTTTCTCTGTGATTTTCACATGGGGGTTCAGGGATTATTGGAGACTAATCTGAAATTTTGTTTCGGTCAATAGGTGTCTGTCTTTGCTTGGTTGCTGTTTCTGTGCTGGCAGAGAGAGTCTGTACCTGATTTCGGTTCTGTTGGGGGCCGACCTCCAGCTGCTGATCTGACTCATATAGGGTTCTTGGCTCTCTGCTGTAGATCACTGGCAGTTCCCACCTTTGGAAGGGTTGAGCAGCCTAGATTGCTTCTGTTTGCTCCTACAGGTGCTCTTGGCAAGATCGGATGTGCTGGATGCACTCTCCCAGATGTTGGAGTCTTTTGTGGGCTCCTGATTTTTTTTTTTTTGGCTGGTTGTGGGCTTGAACTCTGGGCTTGGGCACTGTCCCTCAGTTCTACAGCTCAAGGCAGGCACCCTACCATTTGAGCCACAGCATCATTTCTGGCCCTTTCTGCTTATGTAGTGCTAAGGAATCAGATCCAGGGCCTCATGCACCCAAGACAAGCACTCTACTGCTGAGCCACCTTACCAGCCTGAGCTCCTGGCTATTATCAGGTGCTGGTGGCTTGTGTTGTCCAATTCCCAGCCTAGAATATATGGGTCGGGTTCTGGTGGGCTTTGGGCTTCTCTTGTCCTGAGCCCCCCAGGTCTTTTGCTGTCACAGGTGTGATTCCCAGGGAGTGCAGTTCTGTTTTTCTCCCCTCTGCTGAGGCGTATGCTCAGCTTCTGACTTCAGTTGTGAGGAGTTGGTTGTTTTGCTCAGGCACCAGATCCTCAGGCCTGGTCCCGGCCTCCCGCCTGTGGCATGCCGGTTGGGCCTGTGCTGCTGTGTATACCGCCTAGGTTACATAGCCTGGGGTACATAGTTCAAATTTCTTCCACTGTTAGGTGTCTTGACCCAGGGGCACTGTTCCTAGCTTGAGCGTTTAAGCTCCCTTCCAGGGGTGCTCTTGCTCTAGCTGGCCAGCTGAGTATGCTCCGTGGGCTGATGGAGTTCTCAAACAGTTCCTAGTTTTAGTGAGTCTTGTGGTCCAGGTGTTGGGGCGGAGGGGGTCTGGGTCGGGATCTGGGGATTCCCACCAGCTCTGGTCTCCCTTGAGGGATACACTGTCCCCTGCAGGGTACTCACCCTAGAACTAGTTGTTTCTGTGTGATGTAGGTTGTCAGTTGCCATTGCAATCAGAATTCAGTTGAGGTGGTTGTGGGCTGGGCTGGGCGGTGGTGTCTCTGTGTGTTTCTCTTCTGTCTCTGCCTCAGTTGAGGCTGTTCAGGTTCACACCGGATGGGCCTCCGGCCTCTGCCCAAAGGGTGGAGGTGGGGCCTCCATGCAGGTTCTGAGCACTGGGGTTTGTCTCTGTTTGTGCTCTCCGGATCAGCACCAGATCCTTGCAGGTCTTCTGTTCTGGTGTTCTGTGTGCATGCTGTGTAGCTCTGGGGCTCTCATGGTGGGGCTGAGTTCCGGGCTTGGAGGTTTCTCCATTCATCGTGATCGGCGGGTCTGACCCTGGTACCTCAGGCAGCTTCTGCATGGGTGATCTGCCAACAGCCCTCTGTGTCTCTGGAACTCCAGCAGCCTTCATGCAGGTTCTGAGCACTGGAGTTTGTCTCTGTTTGTGCTCTCCGGATCAGCACCAGTTCCTTGCAGGTCTTCTGCTCTGATATTCTGTGGGTGTCCCATGTAGTTCTGGGGTTCCCACTGTGAGGTTGAGTGGCTTTGGCAGGATGGAGCCTCTCTGCTCAGATGGAGAGTGAGGGGTGGAGGTGGGATCTATGTGAAAGCTCCCAGCTGGGAGGTTTCTCCATTAGTCATGATCAGCGGGTCTGACAACGGTACTTCAGGCGGCTTCTGCACGGGTGATCTGCAGGCAGCCCCCTGTGTCTCTGGGACTCTGGTAGCTCCTGCCAGGCCAGCTGGCTGGGGCTTGGTGTGCTGCTGCACGGCCAGTAAAATTTGGGGGAGGGGGTCTTCACGCTTCTCTGTTCTGAAATTCTTCTTTTTCTCTCTTTCTTTTTTGTTATTTTCCACCTCCTGTTTTTCTTTGGGTGTTCATCTTTTTGTTGTTGTCAATCTCTTGGGGAGATTAATCATTGGAACTCGAACTCTCTTTTTGGTTAGAGAGGGCTGTGGCATTTCCTACTGCCCCGTCGCCATCTTGGTCCCCTCTCGCATCTTAGATCTTGAAGAAATTACTGCACTGTTTCTCTCACAGTAAGCAATACAAATCCATTCTTCAAATGGGCATCATGATACCACCATTCAGTCTCTCAAATCACAGGTTCTGACCTTAGGTACTATGGCCATAGTTCAAGTCATATGCCACATAAGAGTCTACCATTGAATCATCCAGATAATCTGTTCTTAAACATAATATTACAGCCAGATACCAGTGGTTTATGCCTGTAATACTAGCTTCTAAGAAGGTTGGGATCAGAGGATAGTGGTTCACAGCCAAAGTGGGCAGGAAAGTCTGTGAGTCTCTTACCTCCAATAAACTACTCAGAAAGTCAGAAGTGGAGTTGTGGGCCAAGTAGTAGAGGGCTAGCCTTGAGCAAAACAGAGCTCACAGACAGTTCCCAGGCCCAGAACCAGAACCAAATAATGATAATTATAATATTTCTAGTAAATGTACATGTAGTATATACACAATTTTTAAAAACACATTGATGCATATAAAACATAGAAAACATTGAATATATGTATATGTACAAATCTTGTACTTTAATTAGAAACAACAAATTTTGTTCAAAGTATAATATAATTCAGTATATTTTTTCAAAATTGATAAATAACTCAAAATAAATAAGTATATAGTCTAGTAAGCACATGTGTTTTATAAGGGCATTATTTGTTACTCCTTACAAATGACATTTAAGTACTTGAGCTTAAAGAGTCCTTATGATACTTATATTAATTTTTCAATGTGTATGACATGTTTATATTTTTAAAAATACATTATTTTCTATATATTTTATAGGAAATTTCAATGAACATACCTAGACTATATTTTTAAACTAAAAAACTCAAAATTTGTTAAAAAGTAATTTTTTCATTCATAGAAAGTGACCACTTGATGGATTTAAGAAGAAATTTTAAATAATTTTTCAAGGTTTCTGCCATGAAACTGGTTTTAACCTCAGAGAGACAGTGTTAGAGTTCCACATTTTTCATTACCTTTGCTTTACTGCTAATTCACATGTGAAGGGCACTTGGAGAAAGTTAGTGCAAATACTCACATCAACTGAACTAAAAGAAGATTAGAAAGGATTTGTCTATCTCATCACCGTTTGGTAGAGTAAAGGAATAATTATAATTCTCAAAAGTGATCTAGTGATGCTAATGACTACTTATGACCAAAAGCATTAGGTTTTTTATGTTGGTTATGTAAGATATTAATAGATTATCTCATCTAGACATAAATATTTTGTTCCCATAACCACTATAGAATCATTTACATACAGCTCTCCAGTTGCATCTTACAACGCTGTGTGTCCATAGGGAATAAAGTCAAATCCAAAGGGCATGAAAGAGTAATCGATAACCTGAAAGCAGGAATAGGGAAATTAGAAATACTGTATATACTATGATCTGTTCATTTAAAAATAGAACTGCAGAAATTGTAAATATCAAAACGTACCTCATGCTGACAAGGACATCTCCATCCCGAAAAATAAAGAGAAGGATATTTTCCTGAGTTACATCATGAAAATTGGCACTTTTTTCATTTGCAAAGAATAAATCAGGTTTCCATAAACACTTGTACATTGTAGGATCCACTGTCAGTGCATCTGAGCCCCTGAAGTCACTAGGGAGCTTCAGCCTTGGGTCATTCCATTTTTGTCTCAAGAAGATGTTAACTCTGTAGTCCTAGGAAAAATAAAGAAATATGTTCATGTGTGTATCTACTAATATATTTGATTACTTAAAAATAAGGTGTGTGTGCATGTGTCTAGTTATGGTTATTTTTAGTTACTTAAAAATAATACACCCATGTTTATGTTTGTTACTAATTTGGAGAACATGTTAACACTGGAATGAAAAAGATTTTATGATTAGTAACAAAAAATTTTGCTCTTCTAACATCTAGGATCACATTTGAGCCATTAAATGAGTGCTTCATCCCCCAGGTAAAAAGAGTTTTGAATCTATCTTATTCTCAAAACATGTTTTTCATAGCATTGACTAGCAAAATGGTAGAATATAACTTTGCCATTATGTGTGTTACCTAAATGTAAACACCAACAATTCAGATTAGTTAGGTGGCATCAGCATACACAGATAAGAACAGCCAAAGGTTGTTGCCATTTTCCCCCCAAAAGTAGGACAAAATCAATTAAGAATAGGTATATATATATTTTTCAGTCGTGGGGCTTGAATTCTAGGCTTGGGCACTGTCCAAGCTCAAGGCTAGCGTTCTATCATTTGAGCCACAACACCATTTCCAGTTTTCTAGTGTTTCATTGGAGATAAGAGTCTCATGGACTTTCCTGCACCCACTGGCTTTGAACCGTGATCCTCAGATCTCAGCCTCCTGAGTAGTAGGATTACAGGTGTCAGCCACCAGTGCCCAGTTGTCTTTTTTTTTTTAAGATTTTTTTTAATTGTTAAGATGTTGTATAGAGGCGTTACAGTTACATGAGTAAGGCAATGAATATATTACTTGTCCATCATTGTTACCCCTTCCCTCCCCTGTTATTGTTCCACTATCCCTTCCCTCTCCCACCTTTCCCACTCCTTCTCCCCATCTTCCCTTCCCCCCTTGCCACCCACTCCCCCCAAGTTTTAAAGTTCATTTCCAATATACTGTCGGTATCCTTGTTGCAATGGATCATCCTGTGTCCTTGTATCAGAGTGGTCAGAGTTTTGTTATTCCCCTTCCCCTCCCCAGATTAGACATATGTATACCCAAGATGCAGGGTACCAAAATCAAGTACAGTGACAACAGGGGATATACCATTGGGGGAAGAACATACAAAGGAAACAAAAAAAATCACATAGTACATTTAAAACAACAACAAAGACAGACCTCTTGTGTCCCTATCTTGGGTTTCATTTCACTTAGCATCATCTTATATGGTCATATGTACATGGTTTTTGAGCTTTTCAGCTCATCTGATAAGATTATCCTATGTGTATGCTAATTACTGCAAATAAGGGAAACCAGGGGACCTAAATTTCTTTGCAGCTGGCTTACTTCACTTAATATGATTTTTTTCCAAGTCTTTCCATTTCCTAACAAATGGGGCAGTGTCGTTCTTTCTTCTATTTGTCTTTTAAGCAGCAAACTGAAAAGGAATAAAGTGTGTGTTTGGTACCATCAAGAATCCACAAAAATGTCAAAATCCAAGTTGCTTTAATTCTTATATTTTGCAAAGGTCCATCATTATATAAATCAATGTATTTAAACATGCATTTAAAATATTATGATAAGCTGGGCATGGTGGCTCATGCCTGTAATCCTAGCTACTCTGGAGGCAAAGATCTGAGGATCGAGGTTCAAAGCCAGTCCAGGCAGGAAAGGACTCTTATCTCCAATAAACCACTTAGAAAACTGGAAGTGGCACCATGGCTCAAGTGGTAGAACATTAGTCTTGAGCTGAAGATCTGAGGGACAGTTCCAGGCCCAGAATTCAAGCCCCACAACCGAAAAAAAAAGAATTATGATAGACACAATGAACTCAAGCATCAGTATAACAAATAACCATGTGAGGTTAACTATATATCATTCACAAACTTTTTATTGAATCTATGGTTCTATGTTGCAGTCAAATATATCATATAAAAATACCCAAGATGGATGTTTCTTATTTAATTAGCACATATTAATTGTATGAGGTATTTTTGTTGTTGTTGGTTTGGTGTCATTCCTAGGGCTTGAACTCAGGGCCCAAGCAGTCTCCTTGAGCTTTTTTGCTCAAGGCTAGTGCTTTACCACTTAAGCCACAGTTCTACTTCCAGCCTTTTGGTGGTTAATTGGAGAGAGGGGTCACTTTTTGCCTGGGCTGGCTTCAAACTGCAATCCTCAGATTTTAACCTCCTGAGTAACTAGGATTACAGGCATGAGCCATAGGGTCTGGACGTTTTCATAGATACTTATTTTTAATTAAATATTTAAAAATTGTTATTATAACGAAGATGTACCTCAGGTAATGAATAAATTTCTTTTGGGACAATGTCATCCCTTTCTTCACTTTCTCCCAATTTTCCATAGATGCTTACAATAAAGTACTTCGATAAAATTCACCCCCTCCACTGTACTCTCTTAGCTTCCCTTTCCGCATATTCAAAAAATATTTGTTGAGCATCATTATGCCACCATGATAGAATTTTCTTTAGTTACTTATTTCATATTTTGTCTTTTTTATACATCCCAATCTTATCCTCATGTAGGTATTTACTATGTGCTGAGCATATTAAGTATAAGGACTTTACCAAAAAATGTAATCATCAGAGATTTTGCTATGAAGATTTCCTCATGAAGATGCACCTAAATGCTTCCTGTAAGTATCCTGCACAGTCTCCTCAGGAAAACGACATTAGAAATTAATCTCTTACATCCTATGCAATTATCATTGTGTTGAATTTGCACATTTACTCCAATTTCAGTAAGTTCTATTTTTAAACTTATTTCCTCTTCCTCCTCTTCCTCCTCCTCCTCCTTTTCCTTCTCCACATCTGGTCCTGGGGCTTGAGCTTTTTTTGCTTGAAGTGGAGCCACAGCTCCACTTCAGGCTTTTTTTCCCCTAAAGTTTAGTTATTTTTTAATTATTATTATTATATTAAGTAGTTGCACACAGAGATTTTAAGCCAATAAGTCAGTACATAAGCAAACTATATCTTTTCCAAACTCATTCATATCCTCAAGTTACTTAATTTCATTTTCATATTGTAGATTGAGTATAAGGACTCTATAAGCCTACCCTTCTCATCTCCATTTCTCTGTCTTGCCTCTGTTTGTCCCACACCCATTCTGGTATTTTTAAAAATTATCTTTAAGTAGTTGTACAAAGGAATTAAAATAGTTTATGAATATATGAATATATAATATATGAATATAATAATAATGATCAATGGCACTCCCTTCAACATTCTCACCCATCCCTCCCCTACACCCTTCTCTCATTCTTCTTAATTTTGTGGGATATATATTGGATTTTGATGCATTCTCCCCATTACTTCTGGCTTTTCAGTGGTTAATTAAAGATAAGAGTCTCACAGATTTTCCTGCCCAGGCTACCATCAAACTGTGATCTTTAGATCTCAGCCTGCTGAGTAGCTAGGATTATAAGTGTGAACCACTGGCACCTGACTTATTATTATTATTATTGTACCCCTCAAATCCTTTCGAGAAATAAGAATAAATTAAAAATAAGTGAAGTGACATTTTTAGCAATTATTGTATTCTCCAGGATAAAGGCATCCTATTTTAGCCTAATATTAGTTTTCCTTATTTTAACATGATGTTACATACATGTACAGAGATAGAAATATTAAGATCTCATTAGTGTGCTAGCTTCTGCAATATATGTGCTGAAAATTGGGAAAATAGACTAGCATGATCTCTCTGTAGGAAGTTCAACTTTTTACTGTACACAGTGGAGGCAGAAGTGAATATGGAGAAAATATACAGGTATACAAATTTTTAAAAAGGCAACTTGATAAAAATTAATTCTAAAGGATACAGGTGGACCTGTTGCAACAATGAGAAGTACAAGTTGTCATGTCAAAAACGAACTTTACAACTTGGGTGGGGGAGGATTGGATGGGGGGGAGGGAGGATGGGAAGGGATGAGAAGGGTAAACAAAGGAGGAGGCTACAATGCTTGCCCATGTAATTGTAACCCCTCTGTACAGTATCTTCACAATAAAAAAAAGAAAAAAATTAATTCTAAGGATAGTATATCAATATTTTATATTTTTATATCCTCCACAACAATTAAAGAAATGTGAACCTTTAATTCACTCCATCATATTTTGCATAATTAAAAAATAATTCATCTATAGCATCTGGTGTTGAAATAAAGAAATCAATTCTGTGTAATACTGAATTTTCCTTGAACAATTTACACATGCACATTGACTTTGGCAACACTTTTCTATGTTCCTCCAGATTCAAAGAACTTATTCTACTTCATCTGAAATCAATATAGCAAAAGTAGTTTTCTTTTCAAAAAAATCATTAGAGTATTTTACCTCATGGCAATACTGAAGTTTGAAGTTAGGCCTCACACTTACTTAGGTAAATACACAACTATGTTTGTTTTTAGTTATTTTTCATATAGGGTCTTGTGGTTTTGCTGGGTCAGCCTCAGAGCCCAAACCTGCCCTGTTCACAACTGGGATTAAAGGTACCAACCACAAACGTCTAGTTTATTGAAGAGGATTTGGTTAACTTTTTGTCCCATTGACCTCAAACATGAATCCTCTTACCCTTGCCGTAAAATAGCTTAGAGTACACGTGTGAACCCCAGCACACAGCTAATTATAACAATTTTGATAGTGCTTCCATGTGTCTTTATTTCCCCCAAATCTTTCTAAAAGTGTAATCAAAGTTTTTGCAAAACTCAAAACTATGCATTTGTTATTTATCAACCTACTGAGTTCAAAGTGTTTTTTTCAAGAGAAGGCTATGCAGTACAGAGAAAATCCGTGCAGTGCACGAGGAGCCATGAACAAAGCCATTTATTGGAAAATTAGGGATGATGTCACACTTTAACATATATCCAACCTTCCTTTTTATTTCACATATCATTGCAAATGACTTTCTAAAAATGATATCTATCTAATTTAGAAATCCAAGTAATTGGGAATGAGCATAGGTTTGGAAACATTAAGGATCCCATCCAAATCTTCATGTGGCAGCTTTA